TACACTTTAATTACCCACCCTGCCACTCCTAAACTCCTGCTTCCCTTTCTGAAAAACTGCTATCCCGATCTCATGCACGATTCTTATCCCCTGCCGCGCACAACTTCCCCTCCTCTCACGTTCGCACGCATAGGAGCTCTCCATCCCCAACCTCCCTCCTCTCCCGCTTGGTGCCTCACCTCCCCGGTGCCCCACTGCCTCCTCCCCTCATCGTCGCCCTCCCTGGCGCTCGCATCCCGCCCCTGGCATGCCGTCCGCCCCACACGCCGCCCCTCACTGTTGGCCCCGACGTCCTATTGGAAACGAATGAGGAACCGCCACCGCAGCCCCGCCCCAGCCGATGAGGCCTGAGGTTTGGCTCGTCCCCGCCCCGCCCCGCTGCCGGAGACGCATCCCTCGAGCACCGCCCGATAGCCAGAGCTCCGCGCGCGAGAGCCACAACACCCTGGCCGGCCAGGACGCGCTTCCCCGCCCTAGTCGCCCCCGGAAACGGACGCCTCGGCCGGCCGCGGGCACCCTGGATGGGCTGTGGGGTTGGTGCGGCGACCGCGTGGGAGGGGCCGTCGGGCCTATAAATACTCTACCGCCAGGTTCGATCCACTTAGCTCCTGCTCATGTCCATTCCATCAGATTGCACACTTGGCTTTTTAGTAGCTTCAACTATACTTCACTATTAATCTGAAATTAAGTGCAAAAATTATATTCTGATTCACCTTCATAACACGAAGCTGGAACCAACTGAACATTATGTGAGCCGATTTCATCATCATGACTACCTGTATAATCTTGTATGATCCTTCATCGCAAGCCAGGGATTCCTACTACAATGGCCAGCCTCTGATTGTTGGTGACATGGTTGAAAAAGTTAATCAGGGGAGCAGGAAATCTCCGTCCCCGCATATGAGCTACCGCCAGCATCTGCAACGCCTGGTCTGCCTAGCGACTCGCCGCCCCGCCCTGTCCGACCACGTCGTGCCTCTTGCCATCGGTTGACACACCCTCGTTGTTATCTCCAGGTATTTTCCCACCTATATTACTTGCAACTTTAGGGACTGCTATAGGGATTGCTCAACTGGATCTGCACAATCCAACAAAAGAAATATGCAAAGTGTTTGCATCTGCACAATCCAACAAATAATATCTCAGGCTGCTCCGTTCAGATGACAGGTACAATGACAAGTACTTTTATCCACATAAAATTACTAACAATGATCGACTTTGTACCTAACATGTGGTGAATATTTGGTTTCACATGAGCAGCACTGAATAGCATCAAAGCAACTAAATGCATCTTCTGAGAAGGAATGACTCCGTGATAGAGAATGATACTCAATGATGACAGCTGAACAAAGGGATGCGTACTTGCACAATAACCGTGAGTATAAGAAGTCCAAACACAAGGGCAGTGATCACTTTTAGCACTTGAGGGGTCCAGTAGAGGTATTTCTACTTTCTTGCCCTCAAAAGAAAACAATGGACAAGTATGCTGCTTATTCACTTTCTTTCTATAGGTTAACACATTTATAACAAATTAACAATATCACCAGGCTGAATATTTGTTAGTTCCAATATTTTAAATTCAGTTGACCTCATGAATTCAGATTCTTGAGGTTTGTCTCTTCAAGTTGTGATTGACTGGAAACAGGGTGTAACAAAGAAAAGGACTGCAATTGTGCTCCTATTGCTTAATATACCGAGTGAAAGTAAATACAACGACCTACAGTGTAGAGCTTATGTGTTTTGCATGAAACTGAATGCATGGCACTGAACATACCTCTAATCTCTTATGTTATATAAGTAAGCACATGATTGGGAGGATTGATATCCATCTTGGTTCATAAATAAATAAATTTTGGCAACATAATTTGGGAGATGCCTATCTTTTGCAGCATGGAAGTCGGATAGTCAACATGTTCTAGATCAACAAGACCCTGAGCACGTCTTGACCCTAACAGAAAAATAGAGACATCCCAAGTGATAATAGGAAAAGGTAGACTCGGCTCCTCCACTCATGCTTCTTTGAATCTCTACAAGCTAAGTTCAGTGCATGGTTCTATGAACTACAACCTAAATTCAGTACATGCTTCTCTGAATGTTGGCCTGCCAATTGGTATTATATTGCAGACTTCAGAGGATTGTATGCAGGTCATTTATGCCAATGGTTTCCTGCTTTTTTATGTTTTTTGGACTATTTGAATGTAAGGACTATACATAATATCTTTTTTACTGTTCTAGGTTGAAGTGTTGGCACGAAGAAACATAATAGGAATTTTATGAATATTGTGCCTTACTGTCAAGATGAATAACAGTCGACTCAGATAGTGTGTGATTATGTTTCTCCTAAAGCTAGCTGACCAACATCTGAACGACTCTGGCTGCTGCGTACAAGTCCAGCTATAAGGATCTAAAACATTGTGTGGAATTCCGGAAGGTCTTTTCCTATACTGCAAGACCCTGTTTGGAACATGATGATTTCGTGAATCAACAACAACACTGTTTCCAGTGACTTTCAACAACTACATCGTTTCCAGTGAAATTCAGCAATAACTACATTGTTTCCTATCATCTAGGAATATAAAGGCTTTGATTTTTTTTTCCAGTATAGTTTAGATTTTCATGGAACACTTCAACCAAGATATCGATGAAGCAAAGAACTTGATTACAAGGTACAATCGTGACTATCAATGCCTAGCTATTTTTCGGACTTGACTAACACAAAGGGTGCAATCTGTAGGTTCAGGGAGCTCCTGTGCTTTTTCCGAGTAAAGATGACTTTCATGCTAGATTTTCTTTCAAGATAACAATAAAGCCTAGGAGCATCCCTGTCCATGGAACAATACTGGAGTGATATAGTGCAACGGTCTTGCATTTCTCAATGCCTCTATCTTTATTTTCATTGTTATCGTAATTCAGTGTGGTATTTAGAAATTTAGAATCCTTGTGCTATGATGTTGTGTATTTTGCAACCCAATATACTCTCCTGTTAACTGAATGTGATCATTTTTAATCGTTGGTTTATATGCTTGTGGATGTCTGATGTGAAGAAGCAGAGCTTGTTTTGTGGATGGATGCATTGGTTTATGTTACCAGCCTTTTTGATTTGTTCTTAGAATATGGAGTTGGTTATGATGAATGACGTGCTCCACTGGGAAAATATATTCAGTGCTCTTTTTGGCCTGTCTATGTTTTTTCTTAGATATGTTTTGTAATATTAGTCGAAACGTGCATTTGCACGTGCATACTTACTAGTATTTAGAAAGGGAGGGAGTACACACAATGCGTCATTTGTCACCATCGGTGGCGGATCTAGGCCCCAGGCCGGGGGGCAGGCCTGGGGCGTGAGGCCCATTTCCTTTGTGGGCTGTAGCGAAAATACCGAAATCACTAATTAAGGAGTACTCGTTGCAAAGAACACTCTACTTTCTCAAGTCGCGACAAGTGGCGCACATGCAGCGCGCCACTTGTCGCAACCTGAGAGTTTTCTTTTTTTTTGTAGATCCGTTTATTCAAAACATTTTATCTTTTAAACAGTACGTCCAAATCTTGAACCGTTTTCATCATTGGATTTCTCATATCGAGATCTTCAAAACTAGATCCCATGTTGATAGGTTTTGACGAACTTTTTTCCATGAAAAAACTGAATGAAAAAAAACAGGCGAAAAAATCGAATCGGAAGCATGGTTTTTTTCTCTTTCCGAAAGAGGCACGACCGTGCCTCTCGCGAAATCACACCCGTGCCTCTCCTGGAAGCAAACCGTGACTCTCGTGGAAGGAAAAAAACAGAAAACACGTTTTTTTTGTTTCCGAGAGACACGGCCGTGGCTCTCGCGAAAGCACAACCGTGCCTCTCGCAGAAGCAAAACCGTGACTCTCGCGAAAGAAAAAACAGAACATGCGTATTTTTCCCTTTCTGAAAGGCACGGCCGTGACTCTCGCAAAAGCACAACCGTGCCTCTCGCGGAAGCAAAACCGTGACTCTCGCGAAAGAAAAAAAACAGAAAACGCCTTTTGTTTTTCCCTTTCCGAGAGGCACGGCCGTGACTCCCGCGAAAGCACAACCGTGCCTCTCACGGAAGCAAAATTGTGACTCTCGCGAAAGAAAATTAAAACAGAAAACCTGTTTTTTTCGTTTCCGAAAGGCACGGCCGTGACTCTCGCTAAAGCACAACCGTGCCTCTCGCGAAAAAAAAACCGTGACTTTCGTGAAAAAAAAACACGTTTTTTTCGTGCAAAAAATATTTGATCGAAAAGCTAAGGAAGACCGAGGGAAAACCAAAACGTCGAAAAAACCCAGAGAAAAACCGTTTAAAAGCCAAAAATGCGTGCGGAAAAATAAAAAACAAAATCTGAAGGAAGCGTCCAGAGCGCGACACGTGACGAATGGCTGAGAGCGCGCCAAGTGACGCTAATCGTTGCGAGCCTCCCGAAGGAGCGCTCGTTAACTAGTTGCAGTATACGAAGGGGGGCCGGGGCGCTGGGCTGGGCTGGATCCGCCCTTGACCATCACTAGAGAAAATGGAAGATCTTTGAAAGGTTCCTATTTCACGATACATATCATTCGCGGGATCCACCACCATTGCAGCCGACCGGCAAAACGACCGTCGAACCGGCCTTTGGGCTGGGCTGGGCTGGGCCAGGCTTTATGCGTATGTTGAGGTGCCTCCTTGTTTTCCAAAAAAAAAAAGAGCTGCCTCCTCCAATCGCCTCTCTCTTATTGTCCTTGGATGGACGATGAGATGTGCAAGATCACCGATTCACGTGAAGCGAGCTAAGCGACATCCAAAAGCAAGTGGCGCCCGTTCGTCCGTGAACCGATGCTCATCAAATTCGATCGCTCCAACAGCAAAAGATCGATCGAAGCAAGCATGCATGTCTCATCCCGGACCCGGAGCATCTGTATATATACATGCCAAATCTGGCTGAGTTACACCCATCCATTCATGTGTAAGCTCTTCACCACTGCACAGTGCACACACCACTGACAGTGACTGAGAGACAGTATGGCAACAATGGCGCCCTCATCTGCTCTGCTGCCACTGCTCCTGCTCCTGCCCCTGCTTCTCCTCTCCGTCGCATGTACTGCAGGCGCGGCACCGGCAGCAACAGCAACGGTACCAACGATACCATCCCAGCCCGGCAAGCCGAACTCGAACAACAAGCAGAAGCAGGGGGGCGCGCCGCTGGGGCCGGCGGTGCGCGCGCTGGTGCAGTCCACCTGCAACGCCACCACCTACTACGACCTGTGCGTGGCCGCGCTCGTGGCGGACCCGGCCAGCTCCACCGCCGACCTCCGCGGCATGTGCGCCATCGCCGTCTCCGCGGCGGCCGCCAACGCCTCCGCCACCGCGTCGGCGCTCGCCAACACCACCTGGGCCGCCTCGGGCGCCCCGGAGACGGGCAGCGACGGGCGCGCGCAGCAGGTGCCGGCGCTCCTGACGCGGACTTGCGCCGGCAAGTACGGCGAGGCGCGGGAGGCGCTGCTGGAGGCCCGGGAGTCGGTGGGCGAGGAGGCGTACGACTACGCGTTCGTGCACGTGGGCGCCGCCGCCGAGTACCCCGCGGTGTGCCGGACGCTGTTCCGGAGGAAGCGGGTGCCCTACCCCGTGGAGCTGGCCCGGCGGGAGCAGGCGCTGGAGCACCTCTGCACCGTCGTCATCGACATCATCACGCTCCTCGCCTAGCCTGCCACAGCCCCCTTGATCCCGCCTGAACCTATTCTGTTTATCGCACGCATCGTAATTTTAAATTTCCCGTCAGACGAATAATCGCGTGCGTTTTGGCATGCAGATTACGTACTCCTGTAGTAAACTGCTCCACTGTAATAGTATCATTATCGAGCGTAAACCGGAGTGTACTGGCACTACTGCTGTGTAACTTTGAGAGTGCATGTTGGCACACAGAATTTGAGTTGAGGGTTTCCGGCAAGAAACTAAAAAGATGGATCCAAGACTGAGATGTCGAGACAAGGCGGGCAGCGGCCATTAATGAAAAGGCCGATCACGTACTTTTCTTCTTTGACGCCATCCGCATACATATTGTCTCTACTGCTTGGGGAGGAATATGTCTGTCTCCATGGCGGCATCCCCACTCGTCTTGTTCAACGATTGCATGGGCTGTCTCCTGTGTGGATGAGGCCGTCCCCAGCGAACCAACCCATGGTGAACGAGTGCCTCCGCTCGACCATCGCATGTTCTCGATCTTGGCAACTGCGGCGAATAATGCACGTCTCGCAAGTTGCAACTGGGGCAGCTCTCCAGGAGGAGACATGAAGCCCGCCGGTGAGGAGGGTGTTTTGGTGACCCAGCTTCATGGTGGCCGATTTTAAAAAAAAAACATTTTGGTTTAAAAAATTCTAAAAATGCATGTATGTAAGGATGAAATGTATGTGTGTAGAAATTCACGGCGAAATACCTTGAATTACGACCTTTAAAAAAAACAAAATAGTGAACTTTGGGGATGAACGGTATCATATGCTGAAAAACCATGGATTTTGTTATGGGTGCAAGTACGCGAGCAGTGGCGACTGCCTTGTCAATTGGCGTCGGGTGTGCCGGCCCGTCGTCCTTGGTGGCCTTGGCATCCCCGATCTCCGGCGTGTGGGCATCTCCCTCCATACCCGCTGGTTGTGGCTTCAGAGGACCGACCCTTCTCGCCAGTGACGGAGACAAGCCTAGGGCAACTAGGGCTATAGCCCTAGGCTTAGTACCAAGATCCCTTGTAATTTCTTTCTACAAAGTACTCAAAATTTCAAGAATTTGTAGTTCAAACTTGCTCAGCCCTAGGCGTGACTGGCTGCTAGTTTCGCCACTGCTTCTCGCCCATGGCAGCACCTCCACATCCTACACTGCCTTGACGTCCAGGCCTTCTTTCTGGCCTCCACCTCTTGGTCACTCGGCAACGGGTGCACATGCAAATTCTGGGAGGACCATTGGCTCGATGGACAGTCCATTGTTGAGATCGCGTCCGTTGTCCATGCCAGGGCCCCAAGCGGCGGCGCAAGTCGCTATCTGTGTGCGACGACCTTCACAACTGCGCCTGGATCATGGACATCCAGGGCACGCTCGGACCTCCGGCTCCTACACCGCGCGCTCAAGCTACCAATCCCTCTTCATTGGTTCCACAGAAGACCCCCACTGGCGCATCACCTAGCGATCTTGGGCGCCGCTGCACATCGAGTTCTTCATCTGGCTGGCCCTCCTTGGCCGATGTTGGATGGCCGACCGCCTCGCGCGACATGCTCTACCCCATGAGCCTACATGTCTCCTCTGCGACCAATAGCCCGAGACGATGCAACACCTCCTCGCAGGCTGTTCCTTCTCCCACCAAGTTTGGCATGAGGTGCTCCCTTGGTGCCACTCCACCGCCGCGCTCCCGGGCCAAAATGACGAGTTCATTGCCTGGCTCACCTCAGCCATCGCCGCCACACCGCGTTGTCTTCGGCGTAGGCTCACCTCCATCACCATCCTCACGGATTGGTGGCTTTGCAAGCACCGCAATGGTTGCATCTTCCACGGCGGCAACCCTTCTGCCAGCCGAGCTGTCAACGACATCCTGGAGGAGGCAAGACTATGGGATGCGCGGGTGCCACATGTCTCGCGCTTATCATGCCCGAGACGTAGCCTAGGGACTTTGTGGTCGGCGCACCCACTTCTCCATGTGCGCCATGGCTGCCGCTGCATGCCATCCATGTGTACTAGCTAGGCAAACCTCCCCTCTCGTCTCAAACTTGTACTATAACTGATATCTCTACCTATCAATGCAATGATACGCAAGCCTTTTGCGTATTCGCGAAAAAAAGGCATGTTTTTTTTTTGCATAACCCTCGTTTCAACGTATTTTATTGTGAAAATTTACACATATGTACATTATGCCTCCATGTAGTATATCTATAGTTTTTTATAATTTTTAAACATAAAAAATGAATTTTGAATTTTTCATAAAACAACCTCCATGGAGCTCGACCTCCAAAAGCAATTTTCGCCGGCCGGTGTCCAAACAAGTCAAGCTCAACGCTTTTTCATGAACAAGGAGTTTGGTGCCTCACGTGACGCGTACTACAAGCATGTTTGGTTGTCTGCATCGTTTTTTTGCCACCCTGCACTATGGTTGAAAGGTAATGAGGGCAAAAAAAGCATGTTTTCACTTAGTTTGGTTGCATGCATCCTCCCCAACATGGCTGAGAAGAAACACACGCATGATGTTTGGTTGCAAACATTTGCTCCCCAGATGCACGTGATGTTGTTTGATTACGTGCGCACAGATGATTAATATCACCTCTTATTCACGTGATAAACTTACTTCACATGAGATCAGGTGTTGAAGGAAGAAGAGAAAGGTCGGCTCGAGGTAGAAGGTGCAACAACCCTCTTATGCGCATCTAACGGTCACAGAAGGTGACTAACACCTAGCTAGTCCCTTATAGCACAATACAATAGGTGAACACGTGTGTCGAAATAGAGAACTTACAACGCGGAATTCATGTGAAATGGCGAGATGAAGCCAATGGTTAAAGAGAATTTCAAACGGTCGATTGTGTGTGAAGAATCTGCTGAAATTCGTCCAAAGAAACATGCACATATATGTACAGTCTAGTAGGGAGACATGGATCTACTCGTCTACAACCATTGAAACAAAAAGCATACAACACAAAAGTCGTGTGAAACAACGAGATGAACCTAGTGGTCAATGGAAATTTCAAGCGGTCACCTGTGTGCGAAGAATTTGACCGTTAGAGCATCAAGATCCCATGCTACAACATACAGGAGTAGAAAAGCACTACACAAGTCAGAATGTGCTTGTTGTTGTTGATTTCGATCTTAAGTTTACATACGTTTTACTTGGTTGGGAAGCATCGACTCATGATGTTAGCATTCTTGCTAACATGGATCGACCTGATGTGATCAATATCCCTCTATCTAGGAGATGTTGGATATGCATGTTGGCATGGGGTTCTTCCACCCTTTAGGAAAACCAAGCACCATCTCAATGAGTTCTCTGCTAGGAACTATTCTAAGACTGTTGTCGAATTGTTCGGTCTCACATACTCCAGCCTTAGAGTTACGATTAAGAGGACATTTGGTGCTTTGAATAATAGATTTAAGCAACCGCAAAAAAAAAATATTTAAGATCCATGGTTAGAAGGCATTCCATCCCTTCCCCCATGCAGACTAAGTTTTTTTTCTTCATATTCTCCATAGTTGGATCTTAGACTAGGGTCTTGATGAGTATTGTGCCGGAAAAAGTGATGACTGATGATGTTGACTTCGTCCATAGCATGGAGACAATTGAAAATGAAGCTTTAAAGAGCAAAATATTAGAGTGGGTTCAGACAATATGGGCTAACAGAGGATACACAAGGTTCCGAAGAAAAAGAGGAAGAGGAAGATGATGAAGAAGAAACATGAGAATGTGAAGAAGAAGATAAGATGGGGATGGTGAACTCCCCCTTTTTATCGCAGTGATGAACTTCGCCCCCCTCTATCTATAAGACCTTTAATTTGGTACCGCCGTTTATGAGTAGCTAGGGCGAATTGCCATTTGTTTACTAGCTAGGACAAAAATGATGTATTTCATACTACTCGTGTATTGTGCTTTGTGGTAAGGTCACCACTACCAATAAGAAGGGTGACCGCAACATTAGGCCGGGAGCAACCAACCATCATGTAATTGCATCTTCATAGCCACAACCTTCACAAGTGCTATCAACCAAGCAACATGTAGCAGACGATCCAATGGTGCAATGCAGGTAACCAAATAAAGTGCACAACATGACGAGAAGATGTTCGTCCTAGCTACTAACAAAAAGCGTGGAAAAGCCATTTGGTGCGCGGGTTACAACCAACTCTTTTTGTCTAAAAAAAGTTAAAACATATTTTCGGCGAAAATACAAAAGTAAATATGGTTCCACGCTACCCATGTGAATAGTGAATCTAAACAACACACTAGAAAAAAAATCAAATAAATATGATAAGTTGGGGTATCAAACTTAGTCGCCATTCTAGTCATGTGTAGAGTTACATATTCTGTGATGTCCAACTTCAAGAGGACACTGAATACGATATCACTTGGAAGCACGCGACCAGTGGCCACTATTCATCAGCCTCCGACGATAGGATGACATCGATGATGGCATCATTTGGAAGCACACGACTAGCGGCCACTACTCGGCGGCCTCCGCCAATAAGGCGCAATTCTTGGGTGCAACCCGCACCTCCACAGAAAGGTCAGTTTGGAAAGCTCAGGCACTCGAGGAGGTTAAATTTTTGTTTAGTTGGCCATCCAAAATAGGATTTGGACCACAGATAGGTTGGCTAAGCACAGTTGACCAAATTGCAGGCAATGCCCTTTTTGCAAAAAATAGCAAAAAATCACTTCACACTTCACAAATATCAGTACAACCTGAGGCCATGGGGGTTGGTGAGGGAGTGGCTCCAACTTGGAGCGCTCTACTGAAGAGTGGTGGATCAACATGCCTGAAAGCAACATCCTGAATAGGAGTGCGATGGCCTCCCTCGCCATGTTTCTAATTTGGACCTTTTGGAATAAAAGAAATGTTAGGGTCTTTTGCTACAAGTCCGCACCGATGGCAATCCTCCTTGAGGGTATCAAGAAAGATACAAACGCTTTGGTTCATCAAAGATACAATCCTCCTTGAGGAAATTTATCCTAGCGCCCAGGCCTA